TGCTAGGGGGGGGGGGTCCCACCCCCCCCGAGAGGCTTCACCACATGCTAGGGGGGGGGTCCCGACCCCCCCTAGAGGCTTCACCACATGCTAGGGGGGGGGGTGGGGCGTGAGTAGAAGCGCGCCCCCCTCCCTGGAAGCGATGTGCGCCTGCTCCGGCGCGCAGCTTGGCCACCTCAAGCGAGTCGTCGATGCCGAGTTGAGCGAGAGCGCGCGCCGCGACACATTCCTCGAGAAGAGGAGGCCGTCGACCTGCTCCGCAGCGAAGCGAGCGGTAGATGGACCGTCCCCAGTTCGACGTCGTCGAACAAACGTTCGCGACCATGGCGCTGCTGAGCCCTGGTCTGACAGCCTGACAGCAACCCCCGGGACAGCGCCTGACAGTGCCCGAGGATGCCAAAGCAAATTTTGCTAGGCGAAGTTGGTGGTGAACCACGCCGCTGCCTCCCTCCCGATGCCGCCGCGCGTGCTCGACGCCCATGTCATGAAGTCGAAGTTGTTGGCATCGCACGCCGCGGCTTTAGCCCTCCTTTTCGTCGAGGGGGGAGGCCAGGAACCCCAAACGGCCTGTCGGCGTAACTCAGGGGTCGTGCGCAGACCGTGCTCCGAGGTCGCAAAGTATCATGTCGTGGGTAGGGATCCTCTCTCTAAGGGATCCCTAGAGGCGCCGCAAATCATCAGAATGCCGATGGCACGCGTGACTGTCATTACTGAGGGCTGCCCAGCCTGCCAGAATGGATTAGGGAAAGCGGCCAGCTGTCTCTGTCCGCCGCCTCGAGATCTCATGCTGGCGTTGATGAGGTCATCATGCTGTCATGCACAGTGAGGTCATCAACGCCGAGCTCGAGCTCGATGTTGATGAGAGGAAGCGATAAAACCAGACCGTTTTGAGTAACCGGGGAGGCCGCCGGTGGCATCTCTTTCCACCCAAGAAGCCCGTTTGGAGGGATGGGCGTCAGTGTGCGGGCGGTGAGTGCTAGTCGTAGTCCTCTCATCAAAATTTAGAACGAAACGCCCCTCGCTCCCTTCTTCCCTCTACTAGCTGAGGGGCTCGCTAAACGCTCGCCGAGCTCCATGCTGTGCAACACCACCTCCTCACTAATCGTCAGGGGCGCGGAGAGCGCAGTGCACTACGGTGAGGCTGCGCAGCGGGGGCTCACCCCCTGCACCGCGCTCTCAGCGGCGCAGGGGAGGGCGGTCGGTGGCGGCGGCGGCGAGGCGCGAGGCGGTGGCGGCGGTGGTGCGGGCGGCGGGATGACAGGGGAGGCGGCGGGATTGACAGGGGAGGCGGCGGCCACGAGCGGAGCGGCGCGAGAAGGGGGGGGGGCGGCGGCGAGGCGCCGGTGAGCGAGGCGCCCGCGCCATCAGACGGGGACGCGCCGCTGCGAGATGGAGGGCGGCGGTGACGGAGGCGAGGCGCGAGGTGGCGGCGGCGGCGGCGGCGGCGGCGGCGGCGGCGGCGGGTCTCGGTGAGCGGCGGCGGGAGGAGGAGCAGCGGCGGCGGGAGGAGGAGCAGCGGCGGCGCTCGCTCGCTGTTGACGGGAGCGCTTTTGAGCCTGGGAGCCCATGCCACTGCGACCGGCGTGCCCGGGAACGGAGATCGCGCGCGCGCCGCCACTCACGACGCGCGCGCGATCTTCGCGGAGTCGGGTCCCCAGAGGGAAGCGGTCTTCTCGGCCGACGTCCAGCGGCGCGCAAGGAAGCAGGCGCAGCGGAGGCGGCCTAGCACCGGCTCGGCGCCGGGCGGTTGCGCTGCCCGCGAGCCGCGTCCTGAGCCTCGGCAGCGCGCTGCGCGGCGCGGCGCTCGCGCTGCTTCTGTGCCGAGAGCGGCATGATTCGCCAGCTGAAGCTCCAGACTCCTCGGGTCCGCGAGTTGCACGATTTGCGCAGGTTGAGGGGAAATTGGCGTAAGCGTCTGAAAGCAGTCTTGGGTGGTGAGAAAGCGGATAACAAACAAGAACAACGCACTCTCTCACATGATGACAGCGATCCCACGACAGCGAATGTGGGGACTACATGATTACATGAAGGGTGGGGGGGGCCGTCCGCAGAGCTAGGCGGCGCGGGCACCCCCCACTGGGGCCGAGCGTAAGAAGCCGTTGCCTCTTGCTTGTTCTTGACCAATTGGCACGCGCTGGGGAGTTGAGAAAGCAGATCTCACAAGAACACAACGCACTCTCACACATGACAAGCGATCCCACGACAGCGATTGTGGGGACTACATGATTACATGAAGGGTGGAGGGGCCCGTCGAGAATTTTACAAACCAAGAAGAGCAGCCAAGTTATTTTTCTCTTCACGACGCTCTCGCTCATGCTGTCGATGTATGCGCGTTCCCTCTCGCGAGCCTCAGCGCGAAGCGCTAGATCGCCGCCGCCGGCATCATCTATCATCTTCTCTGCTTTCATCGGCCGTCGGTCGCTCGGTCGAGTGGCTTCCGGATCGAATCGGCAGAGTTGACCCTTATAATTTTTTTTCACCTCAGCGGGCCCAATTTTGCTCGAGGTGCCTCCTACGATTCGATCCAGCGTTCTCAGGCAGTCGCCTGGTGCGTTGTTTCGTTTTCGTCACGGGAGTCGCGCCTGCTCACAATCACAAGCTGTGTAACACCTCACCGCGTGTGAGACCGCGAAAGCGTCGGAAACTTTACATGCTTTGCACAAGCTCAAGGCACACGGGACGGGCAGAGCCGCAGACTAGTGACGGGAGGCCTGGGAGTGGGACGCGCCCCCGCGGCTCGACTCTTGCCCAACTCCCCGCTCGCCCCCTAACCCTTCGCCCGCATCCGGAGCATGTACCGGAGCAGCACCGCCGTCTCCTCGGGCGAGTCGACCCACAGCGTCCCGCACGCGCGCCGCGCGAGCAAGTCGTTGCCCGTCTGGGTGAACTGGTCGCCCATGTGCAGCGTGCTCTGCGGCGTCGCGCCGACGATGCGCTGCAGCGAGGCGATGCCGAGGTCCTTTGAGCCGACGTCGACAAAGATGCCGAGGTCCTTTGAGCCGACGTCGACAAAGACGTCCCGTCCGCCGTTGAATGCGCAGAAGGGCATGCTGCGCAGCGCGGCGTTGGTGCGCTGCTCCTCCCGCACCGCCTGCCGCGCGTGCACGGCGAGCTCGTCGAGCCTGTGGATGAATGAGGAGTGCGTCAACATTGTGAGCTAGTCGATGGGTGCGCGGGCAGCTCGTCGTACATGAGCGTGGTCGTGCGGTGCAGCTCCGTGCGGTGCTTCTCCGCCTATTGAGTAAGGATTGCGTACTCGCGTACATAGCGTGCGTTTGCAGCTCCGTGCGGTGCTCCTCCGCCTCATACAGCACGCCGACCGCGCGCTCCTTGCGCACCAGCTTGACCTTGTCGGCCATGTGCATCCGCGCGGCGCCTAGCCATCAATCAACTGCCACACTGACCATGCAACACGCTGGTCGGCCAAGACAAGCCGTCCGCGCGGCGCCGTCGAGAAGGGCGCGCTGAGCCACGTCGAGCAGCCGCTGCAGCTGCTGCGGCCGCCACCGTTCCATCTCCGGCAGCCTCCACTCCGAGGGGGGCACCTAAAATGTTCACAGCTGCAGGTGTGAAGAGACGCTGTTCACAGTGCAACTGCGTCTCGGCGTTCGTGAGGGGGGCACCATATAGAGGGTGGCGACGCCGCCCTCCGCGCGGCAGCGGGCAAGGTAGTTGCACTGCCCGCCGACCACAAAGACGCGGCTGCAGAGCGCCTGCAGTATGACACAACGGAGTCGAATCTAGTCGAATATTTAGCCGACGACGGCGACGACGCGGGCGCAGATCGCCTCGGGTGCGCTCGCCGCGGTGAGGGCGGCGAGGAGGCCGGAGAGGCGAGCCTATCAGCTGCTCATGATTGGTGAATCGAGGTGACTGACGATTCGCCAATTCATTGGACGCCGCAGAGGCCAGAGGCGGGCCTCGTAGGGCGCAGCCTCGTCGAACCCAACCGCCGTGACGAGGGCGAGGGCGACGCCGCGCGTGAGCAGCTCGAGCAGCAGCGGCACGAGCGGCGCGTCGCTGCCCAGCGTGGCGCGGTCTGGATAGAGGGTCTGGTCGCCTGTACGGTGGCACATCCAGCGGACGTGTCGCGGACGTGTCGCGGACGTGTCGCGGACACGCGGAGGGAGTCTCTGGTCGCCGTCGAAGGTGAGCAGCTGCAGGGCTGCGCCCGGGCCCGCCGCGCCGCGGACCTGGGCGAGGCTGCAGATGTTGCGCAGCTCCTTGATGTGTATCTCCCCATATCTCCCCATATCTCCCCATAGACCTGGGCGAGGTTGCAGATGTTGCGCAGCTCCTTGATGTCATCTCCCCATATCTCCCCATATCTCCCCATATCTCCCCATATCTCCCCATAGACCTGGGCGAGGTTGCAGATGTTGCGCAACTCGCGGAAGGTCGCCGGCACGTACTGGCGGCAGGTGACGTGCGCCTTCAGGCATCGAGCAGGACTGAGCAGACTCAACAGCGAGTACGATTGGTCACGTATGCTAGTAGCAGCAGCAGCAGCAGCAGCAGTAGCAGTAAGGGGTGGGGGGGGCGAGTACGGCAGGGTGGCCTCGTTGTCGTAGTCGATCAGCGCCTCGCGGAGGTGGAGCGGCTGCCACAGCCGGCCAAACTCGTTCGAGACGAGCCTACTCGTTGCACAGATGGAGTAGTGAAGGGATGTCCTTCATGCTCACAGCCAGAGAGCCGACACACACGCAGCGGTTGCCTCGGCGCGAGAGTGCTCAGCTCGGTGGGTGGCGCGTCTTCGCGCTGTGCGGCCTCGAGGTGTTCGGCGATCAGGTCCTCCGCCACGGCACACGCCTACTCGTGGGCAGCGGCATTGTCGGAGCTCTCGCAGCCGCGCCATCGCTCATGGCGCACACCTCTGTGAGCGAGAGGCGGTCGAGGAGGTCGAGCATGAGGGAGATGAGCGGGTCGGCCGCTTGCCGGCGCGCGAGCTGGCTCGGCGTCATGTCGTGCTTGGCCCTCCCGCGCGTGATCTCGCCCTGATCCTCCTCCGACTGCTGCATTGCCAGCGTGACTGCCCGTGAGCCAGTGAGCAGGGCCCGCTGGAGGGCGAGCATTGCCGCGATCCCTGCGAGCGCGCCGGCAGCGCTGAAGGCGAGCTCGCGGGCGGACGGCGACATATGTCTGTATAGAGCTCGTGCGGTGTGGTCTGCTCGACGCCACTCGTCGGTCGGCAGGCGCTGTTGATGGCGACGTCGGGGCAATCGTCTTGGTCTGACGGCACTCTTTTTCTTTGCGCTTTGTTCGTGCCAGTCTGCTGTGAGAGGGGCTTGCTTCCTAGAATTCTTTGCGCTTAGCCTTACTTATGAAACAAACGCAAGGCGGACATGGCATATCGCTCTCGGGCCCACAGACATCCCGCACACCCGCCGCCCCCCGCGCGCGCCCCACCCCGGCCGGGAGAGAGGGCGGCGGCGGCGGTGGTGGCGGTGGCAAAAGTGGTGGTAGGGAGTGTGACGGCGAGGCGGAGGGAGCGTGGGGCGGGCAAGCCACCACGTTGCCGTGGTCGGAGCCACCCCAGCCTCCAAAGGGACCTGGTGCCGCCACTGAGCCACCCTTAAATGCCGAACGACCCCTCGAACAGTAGCACGAAGACGGCCCGCTGCACGTCGAGCGCACGCACCTATCCCAGACAAAACCGCCGCAAGCGGAAGACCCCCACTGCAGGACCCGAGTGCAATCTGTCGAGAGCACATAGATGGGGCGGTTGTTGTTCACCTCGTTTGAGTTTATCCATATGCCATTGTAGTGGGAAGCTCCTTCGACGGTTTGTCACAAGGTCTTTTTACCGCTGTGAACGGCGCTTCGGGAAATCGTCTTTTCACTCGACCGAGCTTAGGCTCGCCGCGGCGTCGGAGGACGCCGCCGTCGCCTAGACTCCCCTGCGTCACTACGTGCCTCCCCGTCTTTGTAGCCTGGCGTTTGTGCCCCGTTTGTGCCGCGTCCCGTGCCCCCGAGTTCATTTGATATACCTTCAGTGTCTCGAGGTTCTCGAGGTGGATATCCTTTGGCCGCTTACTCTTTTTGAATTGTTTGAGAGCAGATCACATAAATCCGGCTTGGGGATTGAAGTAGAACTCGGATACACTACACATGCAACAGGAACCTCAACTTTGAGAGAGAGAGATTTTTAGCAATACAACTTTGAGAGAGAGAGAGTTTGTTTTTTGCAACTTTGCGAGAGAGAGATTTTTTTAGCAATACCAAAAAACTCTAACACTCACGCGTCATTTGGGGCCTGGAGCCCTGTTCACGCGCGCGCGAGACGTGCAGACAGGGTTGCCAGGTGAGCGAATGGCGCGGTTCACGCCTCGCACAACAGAGAGAGAGATGCGCTCTGCATGGTGGGACATAAAAGAGAGCGAGTACTTGGGCGAGTAGGCCGTGCGGTCAACGCTGCCGCGCGCGACTTTGCGCGCGAGGCGGCGCAGCTTGAGAACGGCGGTGGGCGAGAAGCCGCCGCCGAACGTCTCGTGGAGCAGCAGGTTCGCATGAGCTCCTCGTCGCTGGGGCTCCCCACAGCCGAGGAGCTGCTCGACAGGCTGGCCCATCTCGAAGGGCTGAAGCAGGAGATGCGGCGGAGAAGTGCCGGCGGCGCCGACAGGTCGGGCCGGTACAAGAAGGTCGACACTGCGCGCCTCTCGTTTATTCGGCAGCGGATTGGGCTAGAGCAGGTTTTCCGGAAAACAAAAAGGAAAACAGAGGGTCCCCAGCACTTTGCGTTTCCGGAAATTTCCAGGGAAAACAGAGGGTGTTTGGTGCTCCATTCTGGAAACTCGCGAGTTTCCCTGAGTCTGAGAGCTGGTCTGGGGCAAAATCTGAGGCAAAATTGAGGAAATCGACAAAATACCCAGGCGGTCGCAGGGTAAGTTCCAGGTATGAGGTATACACGGGTTCTCCGCAAAATTCCCGGCATTTTGCCGATTTGGCCTAAAATTTGGCTGATTTTGGGCCCAAACCAGCCTCAGACTCGGCTCAGCGCCCAAAATTTGACGATTTCCACGGAGTTTTCCCGGGAAAATAGAGAGGAAAAGAGAGGGCAGAGAAAAAAGGAAAGGAAAACAGACGGGGTGCGAGAGGCAAACCTGCTCTAGCCCAAGCAGCGGACGCTGTTGGAGTGGGTGGAAAAACACCCCGCCGCCTTCAGCAAACCTGTCGACGCGCCGCGCTGTGCGCCCGCTGTGTATCGGTTTGATTTCGGGGTCTTCCGAGACAAAGGCCTGACCGTTGCCGATCTCGCGCGTGACGGTACGGCTGTGGACTATTTGGGCCATACCTGAGCCCCGCGCCCACGGCGACCGCGGCCCTACGAGGGCGCCTGCACCGGCGCCCCTGGCACCGCCCGCGAGGGGGACATCGGCACTGGCAACGCCGGCCCGGGCTAAAGAAAGAGAGAAAACGGACAACCCAAGGGAGGGATGGGAGGACGGCACGCCGCCACCACACAGGGATTTTAAGGAGAGGGGTGTGGTGCGCTCGACGGACGGGCGCTCTTCTATTTTTTCTTTTCTTTCCCTGGCGCGAGAATCAGACTGTGGGTGGGAGTGCTCTCGGGCGGCGTGTGCGAGCGCGCGCGGGTTGCGGGCAAGAGAGCCCTAGCCCTGGGCGAATTTAAGAATTCTTGTCGGTGGCGCGAGAATCCCACTCGTTTGGCGCGAGCAGGTCGCATCGCCACTAGGCTTCGATGGCCTCCGAGGATTCGCCCGCCGCGAAGCGCGCAAAGACGGAGGCGCGCGCCTCCTCTCCCGCCCGCCCGCCGCGCCGCGCCCGCTCGCTCGCCTCATGTCCCCCGCGGATCCGGAGGCGCTGGCGCCAGCAGCGCACTCAAAAAAGCGCCCGCGACGTCCTCGTCTGCCAGGAGGGTGCGGGAAGCAGCTCGCCCGACGACGGCCCCGTCGTCGTCACAAAAGCTATGGAGGAGGAGGAGGCAAAGTGCGCCGCCTCGCGTGCTGCGTGCTGCCGCCCCACACCCCGCGCCCACATGCCCAGTCTGGACCCTCCATAGGATGATGGCCGAGTCGGAGAAGGAGGCTGAGAAGCAGCGGCTCAAGGACATGGACAGCAAGGACCTGCGCAACGCGACCACCGAGGACAAGGCGCGCGCCGCGCCCCGCGCTGACATCACCCTCGCCGCGCCCTCGCCGCGCCCTCGCCGCCGCCAGCACCGCCCCGCCGCTTCGGACGTGGCCCGTGGTTGCGATCGCGCCGCGGCGGCTCTCCCGGCTGCAGGTAGCGCGGCTGGACCAGCTCCTCTCCAAGTCGGTCGCCTACTCCGAGTTTCTCGCCAACAAGATCAAGAAGGAGCGCTCTCCTGCCCCCCCACTGCTCCTGCCCTGACCGCTGCCGCCCTCCCTGCTGCTCCCCGCTGCTGCCCTCACCGCCGCCGCCCTCACTGCTCCCCGCTGCTGCCGTCTCAGCTGCTGCCCTCTGCCCTCACTCCTCCTGCCCTCTTTCTGTAGGAGGGCGAGGGCGCCGACGCCGTCGTGGACGGCTCTGTCCGCGGGCCTGCGCTGCCGCAGGCGATCAACACTACCGCCCTCCCTGCTGCCGCCCTCACCGCTGCCGCCCTCACCGCTGCCGCCCTCCCCGCTCCCGCCCCCGCTGGACTTTGCTCACTGCCATACCTTCGCTCGCTCCTGCCCCTCTCCTGCTCCGCCCGCGTGCGCCACCGCCCCTCGCTTGCTGCCCCTCTGCTCGCCACCGCCCGCCTCCTCCCTGCCTCAGCCGAAGCACATCGTGGGGCAAATGCGGCCGTACCAGCTGGTGGGCGTGCACTGGATGGTTGGGCTGTACGAGAATGGACTCAACGGCGAGGTGTAGCCGAGATGGAGCCGAGGTGGAGCCGAGGTGGAGCCGAGGTGGAGCCGAGATTGAGTCGAGGTCTAGCCGAGGTCTAGCCGAGATGGAGCCAGATGGAGCCGAGGGGTGGCTCGGAGGCAGCCTGGGCGGCGAGAGGACTGCCGAGGTCTAGCCGAGGTCTAGCCGAGATGGAGCCAGATGGAGCCGAGGGGTGGCTCGGAGGCAGCCTGGGCGGCGAGAGGACTGCCGAGGTCTAGCCGAGAGATGGGAGAGATGGGGAGAGATGGGGAGAGATGTGAGCAGGCATCCTCGGCGACGAGATGGGGCTCGGCAAGACGATCCAGTCCATCGCGCTGCTCGCCCACCTCAAGGAGAAGAGCGTGGCGGGGCCCTTCATGGTGGTCGGCCCGCTCTCCTGCCTGCAGAACTGGCACGACGAGTTCAAACAGGGGGCTTCTCGCTGTGAACGGCGTCGCTTCACACCTCCAGCTGTGAACAGGCACAACGAGTTCAAAAAGTGGGCGCCCTCGATCCCCTCCCTCGTCTACCACGGCTCCAAGGAGGAGCGCACGCAGATGCGCGGCACGCACTACCGCAAGGGCGACGGCAGCATGCCGGTGACGGCCACGTCGTGCGAGGTCGCCACCGCCGATGAGGGGGGTGAGCGTTGGTGCGATTGAGATCAGGTGATGATCACGTCGTACGAGATCGTCATCCGCGACGCGACGGCGCTGAGCAAGATCGGCTGGAAGTTCATCATCATCGACGAGGGGCACCGGCTGAAGAACATGAACTGCCGGCTGATCCGCGAGCTCAAGCGCATTTGCGGTTCGGACACGCAGGGGGCTTCGGGCTGCAACCGGCTGCTGCTCACCGGCACGCCGAGCTATGGGGAGATAGGGGGGGAGATTGGGAGATGGGGAGAGATGCTCGCCGGCACGCTGCTGCAAACACAGCCCGCCTTGATGATACGCCATGGCTTATCGGTGCCATGGCTGTGACTCAGGCACGCCGCTGCAGAACAACCTGACCGAGCTATGGTCGCTGCTCAACTTTCTGCTGCCGAGCATCTTTGACGACCTCGACTCGTTCCAGGCGCAGAGAGGGGGAGGGAGAGTGGGGCGGGGAGGGGGGGGGGGGGGGGAGGGGGGGGGCGGTGAAGAACGGCTGGGGACACCGACGGCAGGTTAGGTTGAGGTAGTGATGGGGAGCCGGTCCCACTGGCGCAACACACAGCCCCCTCACAGCCTCACAGAGGGTGCAGCGACGGGACTCGGGCAGCGAAGGACGGGAGGCGAAGGACGGCCGCTCGATGGAGTGTGAGCCTCTCGTCCCTCCGCCAGGCGTGGTTCGACTTCGACTTTACGCAGGAGGACAACGACGACAAGGTGATGAAGGGCGAGAAGGGCGAGCAGGTTGTGCCATGCCCCTGACACGTCCCCACATGCCCTCGACACGTCGCCAACACATCCCCCGACACGTCCCCGACACGTCCCTCGACACGTCCCCGACACGTCCCCGACACGTCCCCGACACGTCCCGACACGTCCCCGACACGTCCCCGACACGTCCCCGACATGTGCATGCACATGCACATGTACATGTTGTTGTTGTTGTTGTCTGAACTGTCGTCGACACGTCCCCGACACGTCCCCGACACGTCCCCGACACGTCCCCGACACGTCCCCGACACGTCCCCACAGGTGGTCACCAAGCTCCACCAGATCCTGCGCCCCTTCCTGCTGCGCCGCCTCAAGCAGGACGTCGAGCTCGGTGCGAGATCTAGCCGAGATCTAGCCGAGGTACAGCTCAGATGCAGCCGAGATGTAGCCGAGATGCAGCCGAGATCTAGCCGAGATCTAGCCGAGGTGTAGCCGAGGTGTAGCCGAGATGCAGCTGCGCCGCCTCAAGCTGAGCGGCCCCTCAGGCATCCCCTCAAAGACGGAGTACATCCTCTACCTCCCCATATCTCCCCATATCTCCCCATATCTCCCCTCAGGCATCCCCTCAAAGACGGAGTACATCCTCTACGCCTCCCTGTCGGAGTGGCAGCAGCAGCAGTACAAGGAGATCCTCAACAAGAACCTCTCCACGTCGGATGGCAAGGCGGTCACCCTCAACAACTTGCTCATATCTCCCCATATCTCCCCATATCTCCCCATATCTCCCCAGGCGGTCACCCTCAACAACTTGCTCATGCAGCTGCGCAAGTGCTGCAACCACCCCTACCTGTTCGAGTGGCCGATCAGCGACGCGGGCGAGGAGGCGGCGGGCGAGGGGCCGGCTCTCACCCCCTCTCTCAGCAGGAGCGGTCGGCCAGTAGGCGAGGAGGCGGTGGACGAGGTGCTGGTGCAGGCGTCAGGCAAGATGCTGCTGCTCGACCGGCTGATGGCGAAGCTCACCAAGAATGGGCACAAGGCGCTCCTCCCCAGCTTGAGAGTTGAAGGAAGACTGGGGGAGAGTGGTGGACGGACTAAGTCGGAGCGGTGGGGCGCCAGGTGCTCATCTTCTCGCAGATGACGCGGATGCTCGACATCCTGCAGGAGCGAGAAGGCTGCGCCTTGCGCCGGAGCTGCAAGCTACTCCACTCTGAATCGCTCGTGGTTCGACTCCTCAGGAGTACTGCGCCCTGCGCAGCTACAAGTGCTGCCGCCTCGACGGCGGCGTGTCGGCGGAGGACCGGACGCAGGCGATGACCGAGGCATGGTGGTGGGTCTGGCAGTCACAGCACGGTCTCCTCATCGGAGAGAGACCCGGACGCAGGCGATGAACGACTTCAACTCGGACAAGTCGATCGACGTCTTTTTGCTCTCGACCCGCGCGGGCGGGCTCGGCGTCAACCTCGTGTCGGCAGACGAGGTGCCACTCTTCACGCGCGTGCTGCTGTGGACAGGCGGGCTCGGCGTCAACCTCGTGTCGGCAGACACGTGCATCATCTTCGACAGCGACTGGAACCCGCACATGGACCTGCAGGCGCAGGACCGCTGCCACCGCATCGGCCAGACCAAGCGCGTGATGGTGTACCGGCTGGCCGCCTGCGGGACGGTAGAGAAAGAGCGGCAGAGGGCCGCCCCGGCTCGCGGTGGGCGGCGTCTCTTCACACCTCGCCGAGTGTGAACAGGTCGAGGAGCAGATCCTCGTCAAGGCCAAGCAGAAGCTGAAGCTCGAGCAGCTGGTCGTCTCCAAGGGCAAGTTCAAGGACATCGGCAAGAAGACGGACCGGAGCGAGCGCATCGCCGAGGACGAGCTGCAGGAGCAGTCGCTCGCCTTCGACTGTCTCACACAGGCTATGCTTGAATTAACGAACCTGCTGATTGCGCTGCAGGAGCTGCTCGCGTTCGACCCGAGCAAGTCGGCGCTCGGCCGTGAGAACAAGGTACTATCTCCCCCTATCTCCCCCTATCTCCCCCTATCTCCCCCTATCTCCCGCCCGAGCAAGTCGGCGCTCGGCCGTGAGAACAAGGTACTATCTCCCCCTATCTCCCCCTATCTCCCCCTATCTCCCGCCCGAGCAAGTCGGCGCTCGGCCGTGAGAACAAGGTGCTGAGCGAGGAGCTCGAGAGTGCTCCTCAGTCGATTTCAACTCTTTGCACGATGCAACAGGTGATCACGGACGAGGAGCTCGCCGTCGTCCTCGATCGCAGCGGCAAGGTGCAGGCGGGCAAGGGCTTCATGGCGGTGGACAAAACGACCTCCGCCTTCGACGCAGCCCAGCGCGGGGAGAGCTAGAGACCGGAGGACGATGCCGCCGGACGCGCAGCACGAACGCTGAGCACGAACGCTTGCCACCATCGCCTCTCCCTCTTGCCGACTCAGTCTCCAACTCGCCACTCACTCTCTGTCCGAATGCGTCCGCGCGCGCGCGCGGGGCGCGAGTGAGATTTTGTTGTGTGCGAATATACTGTCACTTGGACCTTGGTTACGTATACGAGTAAGAAACGAAACGGGTGCACTTCTTCCGAGACTCAAAACACAAAGGTTGCAAAGACCTGTGCGACTCTGACACCCTCACACGTCACACGCCACACACGTCATACACGCCGCGCGTCCTCAAGAACACAGCGCCCCCCTTTCGTCAGCCCCCGATCCTCAGCGTCGCGACCACGTCTTGAGAGAAGGCGTGGAAGCGCTCGTCCTCGAGCGCTGCCTCGAGCCGCTTCAGCGCGAGCTCGCGCGTCGCCGCGCCGTCAATCTCGCGAACGAGATCGCGCAGCTCGCGCGAGCCGAGAGCGCCGCGCAGCTTGCTGGACGCTCGCAGCGCAGCGATCTGCGCGCCGCTGAGCAGCGCCTCGTCCTCCTCCTCCTCTCGCGCGCTGTCACGCGCCGCGCCGCCCCCCGCCGCGCCGCCCCCCGCCGTCCCGCCGCCCTCGCCCGGCGGCCCGGTGGCGCGCGCGCGCTTGAAGAAGCTGCTCAGGCTCACAGCCTCCTCCCCGCCTCCCTCCTCCAGCCCCCGCTTGCCCACGAACCCCGCCCCCGCCGCCCCCGCCCCCGCCGCCACCGCCACCGCCGCCACCGCCGCCGCCTCCGCCGCCCCCGCCTCCAACCCCGCCGCTCCCGCCGCCGTTGCCTCCGCCATTGCCGCCGCCTCCACTCCGCCGCCGCCCTCCCCGCACGTTCCCCCCGCCAACCCGGCGTGCCTGATACCGCCAACGGGCAACGCCGCCCCGCCACCGCCGCCCGCACGAGCGCCGACCGCTTTGCTCTGCACCGGCGCAGGCGGTTCCGCCTTTCCACCCTCCTCCTCCTCCTTTCCGCCGCTGTCGCTGCTGCCACCATCGCCGCCGCCGCCGCCGGCTGCCGCCAGGTCCGTTGGGCGGAGGGATGGGGAGAGAGGCGGCGCGCAGAGCGTGACGACCGCCTACCACCTCGGGCAGTCCCGTGGTCATCGAGGGTCATCTCGGACCATATCGGGCCATCTCAGGATCATGTGGCAGAGGCCCACGGCCGCCTTTGACTTGTCGTTGGCTCCAAAGTACGAAGAGAGGGGGCGGTCGGCCTCGAGCGTCTTGCCGGCGAAGAGAAGGCTCGCGCCCTCCTCGCTCACCTCGCCCGGCGCCGCCGCGTCGGCGTCCCCGCCCAGCGAGCGCAGCAGAGGCAGCAGCGCTGCGCGGGTCGAGATGGCCTTGCGCCGAACGTTGCTGGGCGAGAGGAGCTCCCGCGCCGTTGAGAAGTCCCCGCTTTCGAGGGACGGGCCCGCCGCCACTTCCACGTTCGTGGAGGCGTGGCGGTGCGGCTGCGGGCTCGCGAGCGCACGAGAGATCCGGCGGCGCAGGTTGCTCAGCGCAACGGCGTCCCGCAGCGCGACCTCGACGGCGACGGAGCTGGCCGCCTCGCACAGGAAGGGTGCGGGCGGAGCCACGCCAGCCTCGGCGGGCAGGCGGACTTCAAGCAGCATCTATGCCTGGACCGGCGGCCGATCGACTGCCAGGCTCCCGGACGAAGAGACGAGGCCGGCGCCGAGAAAAGAATTCTATTACTTCTGACACTCACTGGCATTGAAAATCCCACAAATTTGCTCAAGCGCCTTTGAACGTGTGGGCGGCAGCTGTCTGTTTACAGGCGCTGGCCGCCCGCGCGCGCGCCGGACCGGCTCCGGCACGTCCGGCGCTGGGCGGCGCGCGTCCACACTGCGGTCTGCGCGTCGCGCAAAAGGCGAGCGCTCGCCGCCGCTACGGCGGCGGCGGCGGCCGACGGCAGACGGCAGACGGCAGACGGCATACGGCCTAGGGCTCGGCTGGGCGCGCACGCGCACGCGCGCGCGTCGCGCGCCACGCGTCGCTCCGCGAGGGCGCGCGCCAACCGCGATTCGAACCGGGGCCAAAAGGTGCCTGGAGCGACCGCGGTCCGGTCGCGCCACCGCGGCTGCGGGGCTGATAGAGCAGGCCGGCTGCGGCTCCTGATGTACCTCCGCTTTTGGGTGGCGCGCACAGGCCGTACCTCTAGTGAGGCCCGCATAGTATGTGGGAGACTCGTGCCGCCGCCCCTGCCACCCCTGTGTCAGTGTGCCTGTGGTAGGAGAGACTGCCAGCGACAAGCTGGAGGCAGGTCGCTAGACTGAGATGAGACCGCCAGTGGATGTGGGAGTCCACCGCGCACCGCGCTGCGAGCCTGTCGTGTCCCTTGTCAGGAGCAGGAGAGCCCCACCTGTCCCCCTGATCGTTCTTCCAAAATCCTGCTCGTGCAGGTGTGGACCCTGTCCTCGTCCCATCCCTCGTTTGGCGTGTCTGTTTTCTTTCTTCTTCTGCATTTAAAATCCCTGTGTGGTGGCGGCGTGCCGTCCTCCCATCCCTCCCTTGGCTTGTCTGTTTTCTTTCTTTCTTTATTTCGGCACGACCTCCCATCCCTCCCTTGGGTTGTCTGTTTTCTTTCTTTCTTTACACTGGCACGACAAGGGCGCGGACTGGCGCGGACTGGCACGAGAAAAGAAGAAAATTTCCCTCATGTGGCTCGCACAACACTGGCGCGCACTGGCACTAACACAGGTACACCAAAGAAGAGAATTTTCCGGAAAGAAGAGAGAGACAGTCTTCCACCCATGTGCTGCACCTCTTTCGACACGCCCGACACGCCGACCTCCTTCCTCGAGCGTGCGCTTGCGTGACGAGCCGGCGGCATCCATGTGGCCTCGCAGAGCCTGGACGGGCTGCATGACCTCCGAGGCATCAAACTGCGACGAGGCGCCGGCCTTCTTGCGCGGCGGCATCGAGCAAGGCGGTAAAGGTTGAGTGCGACGGTGGGTGGACTGGGCGGCAAATTCGGCTTTTTTTCTGGAAAACAGTCCTACAGAGTGTGAAGAAGAATCATGTTGGCAGAGGCGGAGGGCTTGCTTGCGCTTGCACTTGTCCAGCGCCGCCGCCACCGGCTACAAAGGCGTGGCCTGGGGCCCCAACTCGTGGTAGGCCACTAGTTTATCGTAGGGTACTCACGGATACCTCTCCTGAGTCCCTCTCGTGTGCCCTCGCGCACATCGCATGCGGTCTTCACTCAGCCTCCGCTGCTGTGAACACCAAACTTGCACTTCAGCTGGTGCGCGCTTTCGCCGCCTACTTTCGCGAGCGCGCTTGGCCCTTGCTCCTCATGCGCGGCGCTCTCGCTGCGCTCTCTCCCTGCTCATGGGACCTGATGCCGCGCCACCTCTGTGGCCGCTCCATCCTCTCTGACGGCGCCAGCCCTCCGGCTGCGCCATCTCTCTTTGGTTCATGTGGAGAAGCCGAGTTAAACTAGTCCCGGGTAGAATTTAAGCAAAAGAACTCTCTCTCACAGCAGACAGGCTCGACACAGGTGCGAACTGGCGCGTGCTAGTACTATCACCGGCACACCGGGTAGAAAAGAAAGAGTTCGCCACCGCGGGGCATGTTGGCCGAGGCGGAGGGCTTGCGCTTGCACTTGTCCAGCGCCGCCGCCACCGGCTACAAGGGCGTGCACAAGATTGCTTCTGGCCGCTTTGGGGCGGAGCGCCACGCCGACGGATACAAGTTCTGCCTCGGCTACTTCGACACGGCGGTGGAGGCGGCGGTGGCGTACGCGCGGGCGGTCGAAGAGGCGGCGGCGGCGGCGACCGCGGCGGCGGCGGCGACAGCAGGGGCGGTGGCGGCGGGCGCTGAGCCGGCGGGAGCTGAGCCGGCGGCAGCCGAGCAGCAAACTCGCTCCTCCGACCGCGGCGCGCGCTCGGTCGAGCGCTTTGAGGCCGGCCCGGCCATCTGCGAGGGTTTCACGGTGGGAAGATGGTCTTCTGCCGAAGAGTCGTCGCTCAAGGAGCTTGTGAGCGAGCTCGGAGAAAAGTCGTGGGCGACGGTGGCGGAGCGAATGGGTACCGGGCGGAGCAAGGCGGGCGTGGAGCAGCGCTGGCAGATCATGACGGGCAAGCGCGGGCAGGGCCCGCGCTCGAAGTTCGCCTCGAAGGCGAGGCTCGAAGCGTGGCACAAGCGGCCGCTGGCGCCCCCCCCGCCGCAGGCAGCCCCGCCGCCGCAGCTAGGCACGCGGCCGGGCGTGGGCGCACCGGCCGCTGCAGCGGTGAAGAGGCCGCGGCTCTACTGCCCCGCTCCCGCGCGTCCCTCGGGTGGGCCTGACGCGCAATGCCAGCCGGACGAGCAGACAACAGAAGGAGGAAGCCGCTCTGTTGGCGGCCTCTCCGAGTACTTGGTTCCCTCGCCTCCTCCCCACCCCCCTCGCCTAATCTCCCCCCTGGCGCGCTCTCTTCGTCAGTCGGCTGGAATGCACCTCCCCATCCCCTCTGCAGGTCTCTTGCGGCGGTTGGGAGGGCCTCGTCGACGGCTGGTACACGCGGACAGAGGTGCGACAAGCCGGCAGCACCGCCGGCAGTTGCTACACCTATTTCTTCTCGCCTGCCGGGAAGCGCTTCCGCTCGCGCGTCGAGGTGGCTCGACACTTCGGACTCGACCAAGGCGGAGCTCGGGCGCCGCCCGCCCCCGCCTCCGCCTCCGCCTCCGCCTCCGCCTCCGCCCGCCAGCCCGGGCCGGTCGCAGGGCTGGGCGGCGACGTGTTTCGGGTCGAGGCGCTGCTCGCGCGGCGGCACGTCGGCGGAGAGGCCCAGTACTTGGTGCGTTGGGAGGACTACCCGCCCGAGCACGACAGCTGGGAGTGCGAGGACAACATCTTCGACGAGAGCCTGATCCGCGCCTTCAATGCCGGCGCCGCGTCCTCGTCCAGCGGCGGCGCCTCCGAGTCGGCAGCAGGCCCTCGGGCCGGCGTTTCTTTTTCTTCCTCCCGGCTGCCGGCCTACCTCTCCGCGCCTTCCCCTGGGCGGCCCCGCGCGGCGCCGAGTTTGCAGGGCGCTTTGACCGCGGCGGAGCTGCCGCGGTTTGTGCAGCTTGCCTCGGCGGAGGGGGCGCCGGGCGGCGGTGTGCCACCCCCCACTTGCCTTTGCGGTGCGCTGGCCGTGCTGCGCAAGCGGCGCTGGTGGTGTGCCGACGAGGACGGCGGCTGCAGCTTCGAGCTGTGGGCGTGCGGTCGCACCGACGACGGCACCGCGGGCATGCAGCCGTTGTGCGAGTGTGGCAGGCCAGCGGTGTGGATGGGCAGGAGGTGGTGGTGCGCGCGCGCCGATGGCGGGTGCGACTTCGAGTGGTCTCCTCCGCCGCCATCCGCGCCTCCAACGCTGGTGCCGCCCGAGGCGATCGAACGGCAGATGGCGCGTGACACCGCGGCGCTGCTCACGGCTGCCGCGCACGGCCCGCTCAACGCGTGGTCCTTCGTCGCACCAAGCGATTTCGGGCTCGGGCTCTGGGCGCGGGCGCCTCTCCGGCGGGGGCAGGCGCTCGGCTTGTACTCCGGGCCGCGGCTGCCGTGCAGCTTGCAGCGGCGCGGCACGTGCGCGCTTCAGATCCCGGGCGCCGACGCCGCCACTGCTTGCGTTTCGCTGGTGTCCCTTTACGTGATACGGCACGGCGTAGGCACCCATGTCGTCGTCGACGGTGCGAGCGAGAATTGCCCGTTCAGCGTGCCCCGCTGCTGCGCGTCGTACGCCAACCACAGCCGCTCGCCCAACGCGCGGCTCGAGCTGTGGCCCGTGTTGCGCCCCGCACCGTGCGCTGCGCCAGCATGTGTCGTCGCGCCGGACGGGACGCGCCCACACGAGTTGCAATTCTGTCTAGGTGCGAGGTGCGCCAGCACATGGTTCTCGTCGCGTCCGAGCCCATATCCGCCGGAGGCGAGATCAGGATCGACTACGAGGGAGGAAGCTCTCGCGCACGCAGCGGCAGCACCGCGTATTGGGGCGCGGAGACGGGGATGGGTGAGCCGCGCGAAGACGGCGCGTGGCGTGCCGTTCGGCGCCACCCTCCGCCGCCTCCGGCCACGTGCGAGGCAGTAGTCGCCGGTTGCCGGCACACGCTGCTTTGTGCGCCCCTTCACCGCGTGCGGCTGTGGATAGGCCGTGGTTGACGGTTTGGCGCGGCTGCAGAGCGCGGCGCGCGCATCGCAGGGCGGCGAGGACGTCGATGCGGCGTCGGCCGTCCTTGCTTGCTCAGTGGCGGACGAGACAGCGGCACCGCTCCCTTGGGGTGGCGAGCGAGGGGGCGACGCGCGTTTGCGGCTGCTTGTGCCGAGTCTAGCAAAGAAGCTGGCCGGGCTGCGAGCGCGCGTCGTGTCCTGCCAATGGGGCATCGTGGCGTCGCACTTGCCTGGACGCACCGGCGCCGAGTGCCGCGAGCGGTGGGCCGAGCTGCATGCGGAGGCGGAGATGGAGGAGATGGAGGAGATGGAGGCGGAGGAGATGGAGGAGGCGGAGGCGGTCGAGGTGGAGGCGTTCGAGGTGAGTGATGAGGAGGGGGCGCCGGTGGAGTCGGGAGCGGAGGCGATGGAGGTGGATGCTGAGGTGGTGGTCGCTGAGGGTGAGGAGGAGCAGGAGGAAGACGGCGTGGTAGAGGCCGCGGTGGAGGTGGAGGCGAGGTATGCATGGCTGTGACCTGTGTTGCGTGTCTTCCTCTTCTTGATGTGCGCCGAGTCGGCCGGGGCAATCAGTCAGCACAGCAGCCGCCTCGGTGAGAACAATACGTCTTCCATCTTCCACAAAAGCGCCCCTCTAGTTCGTGTTGTTATGGAAACAAACGCAAGCCAATCGCGTCATAATGCGGGAGAATTCTTTTTACTGGTTGGGAGAGTCGAAAAGTTCTGAGCCTCGACGCCTAGAAGGCTCGGGTCTAAGTGTGCCTAGGCACGCTGGGGTGCTTGCGCGGTCTAAGATCAGCGGGAGCCTCTTACATCGGCTAAGTCGGCCGTGGCACGGCCTGGGGCCAAGAGGCTCCCACCGTGAAGCGTGATCGATACTGCACAAGACCCGCACCCGCTCCCACTCCGGCGTGGGGAGTGCCAGGCGGGGCGGCGAGCGGAGATGGAGAGGGCGGTGCTTCGTTGTTGCGCGAGAGCGGTGAGAGCCAGTCTCCGAGGTCGTCTTGCTCCATAGGATTCGAACAATACGAAGGATCCCAAAACACACGAAACGAAGGGACGCACGGACTAATTGATATACGAAACTAATCGGCGGTTATTATTAGCAACGGAGCGCGTGAATGGGCTACCCGTAGTGGGGTAGGCGCAGATACGGCGCTCCGCCCAAATTTTCTTCGCCTGCGGCGGGCGCCTACTAAAATCCGGATCGATCCTTCTCATGCCTCAGCAATCGCCGCCTCAGCATCCTCCTCTTCCGATTCTCGTTGCTCTTCTTGAGCGCAATCTCTAGCCAAACATTTCTCACAAATAGCCTCAAGCTCAAACAAACGCATGTCAGAGAAGCCTGTGTATGCTGGTCCTCTTTGAACGATCCGCGCGTGAAGGTAGGAAGCATAGGACCTTGTTGGCAGCAGCCAGCTTGTTGCGCTGCTTCGTTGCGATGAGCTGATTGGGATCGCAGAAGTGCATATCCATGCCAAGCACCGCCACGATCTTGAAGCAGAACACATCGCAACCGCATCGTCCGCACTGCCATCAGCATGCCGCGCCCGCCGCTTCGCCGCAGCCGCCTTACGGCACGCATATAGCGGCAGCACATGGTACGGTGCGCGTACTTGAGCAGGAATTGCGCGCCGCAAGTAGCGCACTGGCCCTGGGAGAAGGCGATATGGCGTCGTGCGCGGCATACGTTGGTCGGGACGCGTCAGGACTCAGGTATTTTTTACCGGGTTTTACCCGGAGTTGGCCTTATGTCGTATAAGTTCATGGCCCCCGACCATACAGCGTCTAAGTCTGAGCCCAGCTCCGTGCGGGGGCTAAGTTGAGCGCTCGCTCGCTGCAGAGGCTAAGTGTAGAGCAACCCTCTAGCCCGACTACCCAACCATTTTCTTTTTGACTCGAAGAGACGCCGTCGAGGGTCTACCCGTCAATGCGGCAGGTGTAAAGCTCTGGCTCGCTGCCAACGCGGTGGGTCACCAAGGACTTTTCAGCGTGCGGCGTCATCACCGCGCGGCGCGCAAGCCACGCCCCACCCGAGCAAAAGCAACGATCGCGCGCCGCCGCCGCCCGCCTCGCCGCGCCGCGCCGCGCCGCGCCGCGCCTCGCCTCGCCTTGCAGCAGCGCACGCGCACGCGCCCGCGCGCCCGCGCGCCCGCGCGCCCGCGCGCCCGCGCGCCCGCGGTCGCTCCGCGAGAGCGAAGCGACCTTCCTCGCGGGAATCGAACCTGGAGCCAAAAGCTCCCGGCTCGAACCGCGGACCGGCTCGACCACCGCCGCTGGCGGTTCTGCAAAGGCACTCAAGGGCCTCCTCATATAACGTGAAATAGTGCGAGCGAGCGCAAGATACTCATACGTTATTAGGCTAATAGTTTGATAGTGCGGCGGCACGAGGGCTTCAGCCACGCAGCTACCAAGGGAACGCGACCCACACAAAGCACCAAAGTACTAGCCCAACAGCGGGGCGACCGCCCTCTCCAGGTAGGTTTGCTGCCCATTGGCCGTCGCGACGCCGTTCCACTCGTAGAATGGAACGCTGATCACCCTCCAGCCAGCCGCCGCGAGGAGGCGCCGCTTCAGCAGCGTTGGCCCATTGGGTCTGCGCACGCCCCGGCCGTCGGGCAGCAGGAAGTGAGAGGGGCCGTCCACCTCGATCGCGAAGCGTGTCGAGGGCAGCGCCAGGTCGAGCGAGTAGCCGGTGCGCGGCTCGAGATGCTCTTCCTCGAAGCCGTGCTGGACGGCGGCGAGGGCAGCCGCGACGGAGCGCTGCAAGCCTGACGGCCGAGCTATGGTCGCCACCATAGCGTCGCGGCAAAGCTGGCGCTGAGGGGAGGGAAGAAGATGCTGCTGCGCGTCTGCTCCTCGCTCAAGGAAGAGCCAGAGCTGCCACTGGTGCAGCTGACGGCGGGCTTCCTCGCTCCACCTCGACGGATCCCGCGCGAGCGAGTCGCTGATCACGCGCGAGCAGTCGGCAAGCAGTGCCTGGTGATAATGTGCTGCCGTCGCATACGCCCACACCGTGTTGGCCAGGTTCTGAGCGTTGAAGCCAGCCAGCCCGCTTCGCACCGCCGCCTCCGCCACCGCCGCGAACAGCGCGTCCGCAGCCACGCCCGCCGTCGCATACGCCCACACCGTGTTGGCCAGGGCCTGAGGGTTGAAGCCAGCCAGCCCGCCGCGCACCGCCGCCTCCGCCACCGCCGCGTACAGCGCGTCCGCAGCCACGCCCGCCGTCGCATACGCCCACACCGTGTTGGCCAGGTTCTGAGGGTCGAAGCCAGCCAGCCCGCTCCGCACCGCCGCCTCCGCCACCGCCGCGTACAGCGCGTCCGCAGCCACGCCCGCCGTCGCATACGCCCACACCGTGTTGGCCAGGTTCTGAGGGTTGAAGCCAGCCAGCCCGCCGCGCACCGCCGCCTCCGCCACCGCCGCGTACAGCGCGTCCGCAGCCACGCCCGCCGTCGCATACGCCCACACCGTGTTGGCCAGCTCCTGCGGCTTGAAGCCCGCCAGCCCGCCGCGCACCGCCGCCTCCGCCGCCGCCGCGTACAGTTCGTCCGCAGCCACGCCCGCCGTCGCATACGCCCACACCGTGTTGGCCAGGTTCTGAGGGGTGAAGCCAGCCAGCCTGCTCCGCGCCGCCGCCTCCGCCACCGCCGCGTACAGCGCCTCCGCAGCCACGCCCGCCGTCGCATACGCCCACACCGTGTTAGCCAGGTCCTGCGGCTTGAAGCCAGCCAGCCCGCCGCGCACCGCTGCCTCCGCCACCACCCCGTACAGCGCGTCTGCAGCTACGCCAGCCTTCGCATACGCCCACACCGTGTTGGCCAGCTCCTGAGGGTTGAAGCCAGCCAGCCCGCTGCGCACCGCCGCCTCCGCCACCGCTGCGTACAGCGCGTCCGCAGCCACGCCCGCCGTCGCATACGCCCACACCGTGTTGGCCAGGTTCTGAGGCGTAAAGCCAGCCAGCCCGCCGCGCACCGCCGCCTCCGCCACCGCCGCGTAGAGCGAGCGCACCTCACTCACTGGCAGCCGGCACTTGGCCGCACCGTGAGCGATATTTGCTAGTGCTCGCGCATTGCACGACGAGACGAGGACGAGCGTGCGCTGCACCAGCCGCTCAAGCTGCTCCTCGTGCCGCCGCTCGACGCGCTGCTTGCCCAGTTTGTTCCACAGGTTCGCAGCGTGAATGTGGTCCAAGCTCGCGCTGTGGGCAGCAAAGAGCGTGAGCAGCTCGTCGGCGCCGCTGGCATGCGAGATACGGCCGCTGAGCTGCTTAGCATTGAGCTGACCACTGGCAGCAGAGGTGTGCCTCTCGTCGCGCGATCCCGCACCACGCATCGGCGGACTCAACCGGCGGTCGCTGTGCTGAGGCTGCCCCTCGCCGCGGCGGTCGCGCCGGTCATGGTCGCGCCTGGGATCGTGGGACCGATCATCGCGCCGATCGCACAAGTCGCGCTCGCGCTCGCCTATGTTTGGTCGGTCGTTGCAGCCGCGCCGCTCAACGTGCCGCCCGTCATGATGCGGCTCGCCTCGCAATGGCTCGTCGCGCCATCGCTCAGCGGCGTGTGGCTCAGCGTGCCATCGCTGCTCGCGACCACTGCACCAGGAGTCGTTGTAGCCGCGCCGCTCGTCATGCCGCCCGTCATGGTGCCACCATTGCTCGCCTTGCCAACTCTCGTCGCGCCATCGCAGCTCATCCCGCCGCGGCTCATCGCGCGATCGCGACCGCCGTCGCGAACCGCCCCGCCATCGCCGCTCTTCGCGTCCGTACTCGGCGCGCCGTTGCTCATCACGCCAGCGACGCTCCTCGCCCCGATGGGACATGTGTCCGCTGTGACACTTTGCCGTACCCGGGTACGCCGAAGAGCCAACGACGGCGTCTGTTCACGCCTGCAGCTGTGAGCAGTCGTCGCCTCCTTCCCGAGGCTGTTCCCTCACTATCTTCCTCGCGCTCGACGACTTTTCTCAAAGTTATTTATCACGGGTGTCCGCGGCCACTTTGTGCCCGCTGGTAGTGACCGCCGCAAACGCCCTGTGGTCAGCACTCGGAGTGCAGTCAGCAACCTCACACCAAGGGCCGGGGAGCTCAGAAGCGCACCCATCGGGCCGGATGCTCGGGGACGGGCTGCGGGCTAGAGCGCCCTGAACCTCAGCTCCATATTCTGCGCTTGCCAGCGGCGCTGCCGGGATTGGGGCTCCACTCGAGGTCATGCATGTCCACACATAGATTCTCCAAACAAGACAAGCCGTGGGTGCGGGGTTTGTCGGGGCACGCTATCCTGAGCTGTGCAGTCAGGGCAAGTGGGGGCGGGGCGGACAGCCCAGGGTCTTTACCCTGGGATCTCTCCGCCCAGTCCGGGGGTGCGTCGATCCTTCCATCACCCTGGGAACGTCCGGGTGTTGGAAGTAAAGGAATATTACTTTTTTCTTTTTGACTCGGCCTCAGTCTCCTCCCAGGCTCAGCTCTCGTGAGGAGCCCCCACAAAAGAGGAGAAAATGCCTGGGTGCAAAAAAGATGCAGAGCCCAAAGTCGACCACCTCACGCAGGAGGAGCCCTTCCCACGCTTGCACCGCATCTTTCTGCGAGTGCGTCCGACACACGACGTGCGAATGCTCGCGCTGATCGCCATCATGAAGGTCGGGATAGAGGTTAGAGCTGCGCCAATGCGACACCTACAAGCTACAACGATTGCTATCGGCGACGTCAAGACACAAGAGATGACAGACGCAAACACAAATGCAATTCTCGAGTTCGACACAAGCGCGCGCGGCCGCCGGCGCATTCGCGCCGGCAGGGGCGCCGCGGCAGCAGAGAGTACTCCACCGCCATACCGTTTTTTTATGGCGGGGACCTGTACGCCCAGCCGGGGCGCCACGTAAAATTCTTTTTCTTGTGGTAAAATTCTTTTTCTCGGTGTTAGTAAAGAAAGAAAGAAAACAGACAAACCAAACAAGGGGTGGGAGAAAGGACAGGGTCCCCACCTGCACGAGCAGGATTTTGGAAGGACGATCAGGGACACAGGGGAACGGGAGTGGGGAGCGCATCGCGACACGGAGGGGGGCTGGGCAGGGTTCACCCACACGACAGGGTCCCAGGGGTTCCCCTCTCGTATAGGACAAAGTCGCACCCGGCGGCACGGGGGCAGGCACGGGCCTCCTACTGGTTGCGCTCTCCTAGTTCTCCTGCTCTCCTGACAACCGGTGCGAGGGTATGACCGCGCGCAGACACGGGAGCGCGCACCATCCGACTATGTGTAGAGGCTCTCTGTCTGTTGTCCCGGGCACCGCCTCGGTACACAAAACCTCCGACCCCAGGGCCTAGGCGGCCCGCCATGAAATCTAGCCGTGTGTGCTGGCGTCCGGGTCCCAGCGGGTTTTCACGTAACATCTTACCTTATATTTCCCCGTGTCCTGTTTTCCGTTTCAGCAGAGTGAAGCCGCCACCCAGCACACATGTACATGGTGCCCCTCGGCAAGGATCGCGCTCCGGCGCCGTCCACGACGTCGTCCGCCGCCGAGGACGCGGCGCCGGCGCAGCACTCGCGTAGGCGCGCCGGAGTCATCCGGCAGGCGCAGCCGGAGGCGCCTGGGCATCAGCTCGCCGCCTCGCACGCTGCTGCAGAGAAGCGCAAGGCCAACAAGATGACGCTGACGGAGCGCAAGGCGAAGCGCGCGGCCGACCAACAGCGGCGGCGGGCCGCCGCCCGGTTCAGCATGGCGAGCTCTCCCCGCCTCCTCTCGCCGCCTCCTCTCACCGCCTCCTCTCGCCGCCTCCTCTCGCCGCCTCCTCTCGCCACCTCCTCCTCTCGCCGCCTCCTCTCTCCTCTCAGCGCCTCCTCTCGCCGCCTCCTCTCACCGCCTCCTCCTCTCGCCGCCTCCTCTCGCCGCCTCCTCTCCCCGCCTCCTCTCCCCGCCTCCTCTCGCCGCCTCCTCTCGCCTCCTCTCCCCGCCTCCTCTCCCCACCTCCTCTCCCCACCTCCTCTCCCCGCCTCCTCTCGCCGCCTCCTCTCGCCACCTCCTCCTCTCGCCGCCTCCTCTCGCCCTCAGGACACCGAGAAGGTGAGCGAGGACCCCGAGACGGTGATTGCATCGCTGCTAGATGAGCTCGTGGCCGAGGTGGCCGAGGTGGCGGAAGTTTGTGACGAGGTGGATGAGGAAGAGCTGCAGGAGAAGCTGGAGAACCTGATCATTGCGCGTGGCGGCTCGCCGTTGCTCGAGGACACCGGCACGCGCGAGGCCGCCGAGCTCGAGCTGCGCGCAGACGGCTACGGCGCGGCACGCGGCGACGACGACGGGCCGCAAGTCTACAGCCTGCCGTTCAACGAGCTGCAGCGGCGCGTGGCCGATGGTGAGGGCGCGCGGCCGGGCGAGGCGCAGATGGAGTGGGATCAGCGCGTGATGCGCGAGCGGCTTGCACGCGGCGTGCCTCTCGGCGACTACCTCGAGGAGCTGCAGCAGCTGCTGAGCGAGCCACCGCGCGATCCGATCGCCGACCACGAGCTCGCGAATTATGGCAGCAAGCCCACTGATTGGCGGCCACAGGGTAGAAACATTGCACCACCGCCGCCGCCGCCGCCGCCGCCGCCGCCAGCTGTATTGCCGCCGCCGCCACCCTCCAATGACCCGTGCCGCTGCACAACTTGCGGCCACATCCTACCTATTTGGAATTGCAATGCTGGATGTGAGTGCCTCTATTCTGACCGGGAGGCGCTGCAGCTGCACAAGGCCTATGATTGCTCGCCGGCGTGCACACCGCGCTGGTCGCAATCACTGGTTAACGTGATGTCCGGCTCCGCAGAGCCATGTGCGTATTGTGCCAAGTACGCGGCTGGCCACTGCATCGGATTGGGCGCCTTCCCAGATCTGGAGACGCAACAGCAGCAGCGCAGGCTCGAGCTCGAGGCGCAGCACAGGAGCGCAGGTACGCTGCCGCCGCCGCCGCCAACGACGAGTGGCAGCAACGGCCTCCTGCAGGCGTTTGACGAGGGCGACATGCCGTACTATTACTACAAGGACACGTCGCGCACCCTCGCGTGCAAATACGAGCTACTCGACACCAGCGTCGCCAATCCGGAGTGGGCGCGCGATCCGCCAGCCGACGTGGCTGTCACCGAGGGCAAACCACCGGAGCGCTCCGAGTACGACCTCGGTGAGCACGGGCAGAAAGCATATCGTCGGCACCGCGCGCGGTGGTACAGGGAGCACACATGCAAGGAGCTCACCGGCAGCCTTGAGGAGCAGAATGAGCAGTGGAACAACTACACGCGCAACTTCCGCGCACGTGGCGATAGTGCTCCGCTCGAGAGGCGGCATGTTATTGAACCACTCTGGGATGATTGATTCAGAGTGAAATGTGTAGATAAAAACTCCTTTGTCCCCACAAAGTACGTACCCTGCACAAAGATCGCACGGGCGACGGGACCTGTTCCTTTTTACCCGTCTCACAGTAGGGGTCCGTTTTTATTTAGACTGCACTCCAAGTGCTCCCAGTGCGAGGAGGGAAACCGACGGGAAGCAGACCGGAAAACAAAGAAGGGGGCGCGTGCGCGCCAGGTCTGCTAGTGTACACAAAATGCGCCTGCCGGCGGTCCCTCACAGATCACAGATCACGGCGCAGTGTCCTGAGTCACCTGCCCAACCATTCGCGGCGACGAGTAGCCTGGCCGGAGGCGCACCTTAGCCCGGAAAATCCGCTCGAGCTCGCAAAAGGGTGCTGGACATCCGACCCATGCTCCAAGCACCATCGCTGCTCTCGCTCGGCGCCTGTGCGGTTGCCGCAGGCGTGGCTGCGCACGTCGCTCGCCGCGCTCTCCTCCACCGGCGGCGGAGCGGGACGCCTGCTCTTGGCTTTGACGCGGCGCTGGCTCGGCTCTCCGGCTCGAGCGTGGAGGACCTGATCCTCATCGTCGACTTTGACCGCACGCTGACGGACGGCGATTCAGCGCAATGTCACGACGTCATCGGCGCCACCTCGCTCGTTCCGGAAAGCCTCCGCGCCGGCTTTGCGCCGCTGCTCGACTTTAGCGACCCGGCCAAGGTGCCGTACAAAGGCGACGCCTGGTGGGTGCGCGCGAACGAGCTGCTGCTGACGCATGCCTCGCGCGTGCTCACGCCCGAGACGGTGCGGCGGCTGGTGCACGAGGCTCCGCTCTTTGGCACGTCGACTCAGCCGATGCAGCTGCGGCCGGGGGCGGCGCGGCTGCTCGCACGGCTCTCGGAGCTAGACGTGCCAGTACTCATCGTCTCCGCTGGCTTCGCCGACATCATCGCCGCCTTCCTTGCGGCGCGCGCGGTGCCCTCGGGAGCAACGTGCTGCTGATGACATCGGTACTCTCATCACATCACTCGCTGTTCACAACCAACAGGTGCCACTCGGGAGCAACGTGCGCGTGTGCAGCAACCTGCTCGTGCACGACGCCGCCTCTGGTCAGCTGACGGGCATCGAGCCGTCGCCGCCGATCACGGGCTGCAACAAGCAGCTCACCTTTGAGCGGAACCGCGACTGGTTCACGACGACGCACCGCCGCCGGCGAGACGCCTCCTAGTCACTTGCGAGACGCCTCCGAGACGCTTTCGAGACGCCTCAGAGACGCTTCTTCGACACGCACGACGGGTCGCCGCCGCTTGTGCAGCCGCCTCTCGACGTAAGCCCCCTCCCCTCGAGCAGACCTCGAGAAGCATGAGTCGTTTCTCGGGGCTTGCTCGCGCGTAGGCGCACTCTCGTCGTCGTCGGCGACAGCCTCGGCAGACGCGCCGCTTGGAGAGGGAGGGAGGGAGGGAGGGAGGGAGGGAGGGAGGGAGGGAGGGAGGAAGGGGGCGAGGGGGCGAGGGAGCGAGGGAGCGAGGCTCATGGGAGGGGGGCAAGGAACGAGCGTTGGCGAGGCATGTCTCCTCATCAGCCCCCCGGCCCCTCCTCGCGCGCAGGCGACCTGAAGTGCGCGGAGGGCGTGCCAGCAGACTACGCCGTCGCCACCGCCAGCGGCCCTAGCTGCGGAATGCACTCCCCCGTGTTCCAACTCGCCCTCAAGACCACGGCACTCGTAGTGCAGCCGTCTTTAGCTGCATTCGTAGCCATCGTGTTCACGCGTTGCAGGTACCGCCACTGCAACCCGCAGCTCACTGCATTAGTTCCCTTACATTCATGCCACTAGGTTGGCGTCTTCAACGAGCGAGACGGCCGCGCGAGCCTCGAGGAGTACGAGAGGGCTTTCGCCGCGGTTATCGTCGGCAACCGCGGCTCACTGGCGCCGCTCACAGAATTGGTCGAGGCGGTGTGTGCGCGGTCGCCGCCTCCGAGGTGACTCCCGTGACTGTGGGGGTCTGGCCCATATCAGAACTCTGAAACATGACACCATCCTCTACAATTGTCGACTTTTCGTTAAGCTATATAGATTTGGCCTGGGCGCCCCACGCCACGCGGCACGCGCGCGCGTGAACTGTGCTGAACATCTCCCCACGTAAACATGGGAAATCCTCGGACGACCTGGCCGACTACACGGTGAGCCTCATACGGACCTTGCCCAGTAAACCTTTTCCTTCTAAGCAGGGCTACACAATGACCCCATAGTGTGGGGGTGTTTCTGGCGAGTCGTGATGAGTAGAATTAGATTAGCCAATGGTATTTTGAAGTTCATATATGAAAATACCAACTTGCCTATGTGCACGTCTCCGCGGCGGCGGCCCGGAGGCGGCCCGGCGGAGCGGTCAGAGCAGCACTGCGCCGGCCGGCGATCGACTCTCGACTATACCACGGGCTCTATTGAATGGCCTCAAGGTCGTGCTCTCTAGGGTTGCCCTATTCCGCTCGCCCGGCTACGTCGCCGGGCTTCGAAGGAAAAGGTTTCGCTCGGCACGGCGTCGGAGAGCAAACTCCGACGTTCGTCCTATAGTGGATGAGTGGACGCACGCGGCGTCGGCAACGTGGACGCAGACTTGCTGGAGATTGAAGAGGTGCTCGGCATGCGCTACTGCGACCCGAGCCAGATGACTGCGGTGGCGCTGAGGAACCCTGTCGATGAAGACGACGAGCGCTTCCTCTGCCGTGATGCTACGCTCGCTCCCGTCCTCCGGATCGATCGCCGTGCCCGCAACCTTGCTAAGCACCTCGGGGTTGGTGCAGGGTGGCCCACCCTTCCGCACTCGGAGCCGGTAGTCCAGAGTGCCACCGTTCGTCAGCGCCTTGAGGATATGCGCGGAGGGCAGCCCAAGGCCGTCAGTCTCCCAGTACTTTATGTCCCTTCTCCTGCGAACGCGCACCCCGCCCCTAGTAGGGGGGTCAGGGCTCTCTTGCCCGTAGCCCGATCCCGATCATCCGGCCCGCTGGGCGGGATTCTTAGCCCCCCGGCCCTGGATGCGAGGCTAATGACTGCACTCCAAGTGCTCCAAGTGCTCCTTGGCGGGAAGGCGAGCGTGCTGGCGCGCGAGCGTGCTGGCGATGAGGGCGCGTTTGTTTTGTTGACGTGTGAGTGAGGCGTGCCCGCTCCGCTCTTTCGTATAGGCATATCTCCTGGCTGGCTCTGTTGTAGCTGTTGCAGCATGCTCGCTGTTCACCGTACCACCGTCACTTTCTTTCTGAGCGCGCCTTCGATGTGAACAAACACAAGGCAGAACCACACATCACACTCGGGCCCACATAATAGAGCCCGTGAACATACGTCCGTTTGATCACACGCCATCAGCGGGACACACCACACGCGTGTGACCTGCGTGTGACACCGCGTTCGACTTTGAGAGACACCGTCACCGACCGCGTTGTTCCCGCGTTGAGCGTTGTGGGTGCTAGTGGGGGAGGGGGGGGGGGTGGAAAAAGGGGGGAGGGGGGAGTTTGAGGGGCGGGCGGGGGGCGGGGGGGGGGGGGGGGGGGGTTTTTTTTGGCCCCAGGCCTAAGGGGGCCCATGTTCCCCAAAATTCAAACCTCTTTTCTCCCCTAAAGGGGAAAGACCCCGAGTTTAGGAAAACGGGGGAACCCAACCCCTTTGCCCCAAAAGGGGCCGGGGCCCCCTTTGGCCTTTCGCCGGTTTGAAAGGGGGCCCCCCCCCAAGAACCAACGCTTGGAAAAACCTTTTGGAGAGGCCCCGAAGAAAATTGGGGGGGGGTTTTGGGGTCCTATTCCCCCCCCCGGAAACGGGGGGGAACCCACACCCCGGTGGGGGGGACCGCGCCGAAGGGCCCCGGGGGGCTTTCCCCTAAAAAAGAGGGTTTGGGGCCCCCAAAAGCGGCAAAAAAACCGCCCGGTTGGCCCCCCCGGGGCTTGGCATTTCCGAAACGGGGCCCCCCCTTTAGTTTTTAGGGGAAACGGGGGGCGAAATCGGGGGCCAAAGGTTTGGGCCCACAACTTTTCCCTTTTGGGGAAAAAAACAAAAACCCCCCCCACGAAATGGGCGAAAAGGGCGAAAATGGAGGGAGGGCCCGGGCGGCTTATGCGTTCCGCGGGGTCGTATGTTTGAGCCGGATATCGACCTGGTGTCCCGTGGGGAAGGTATTGAACTGCCTTAAAACGGAAGGGCACGTCCTGTTCACGCGATGGCCAGCCGTGGTGTGAGCCCGAAGGGTCGGCGAGAGTCGGCACCCTCGGTCAATATTGGCTCTGACGCCGTGCCAGTAGTCGGCGCGCCGCGATCTGCATACCTGTTCGTACCTCTATAGTAGTGCGGCCACGTGTATTGCTGTTCGGCGAGCCGCGTTCCGCTCTCTCGACCGTGAGGCCAGTTGGCGGGCGCCTAAAGCGCCTGGTTTGTGCGTCGAGCGGTGAGCTCACAACAGACACCGTCCGAGCCCGATGCACGCCAGGCGTCTCATTCCAAGCCCACTACGCATTCCCACGCGCTCAGGCGCCGCTCGAACCCCACCTCTTTGAGCCGGTTACCCCGCGGCAAGGCAACTCGGCGCTCTCGATGTGCGCACTAGGCAGTCTCAACGCCGATTACAGCCGAGCGCGCACGACTCGTAGGCGTACTGGCGTGCCGCTGGCATACTACGCGACGGTGGAGGCGCGTGGGCTTGCTCAAAAGGCATGCATCTGTCGGAGAGCGTGCCGCAAGACCTGATGTGCCTCCGCTCCAGGTGTGAGGCAGTTCGATGGATCCAGTCTAGCGACCTCTACGTGACGATTGAGGACTGCTCTTCCCCTTTGGCCGAGCCTCCAGTCCCTGCCACCGTGCACCTGGCGCCAGAAAGCTGCATTTACATCCCGCACGCGCGATCGGCAGTCGAGTTACAACCCGCAGCTGTGCTGTGTGCGCGCGCACTCGAAAGTGGTTCGGCGATCTCTCGGCGACCACTCGTCGACTCGCGCTCAGACGCGAGGTGCGTGCTCGCCCGGCCCCCCGTGAGGGGACTAGGCCATTTTTAGCGAGATCGGGGAAATCACTCTCATCGCCCGCCGCTCACGCTTCCCTCCCTCTCCCGCTGCCGCCGTATCCGGTCCTAGCCTGCGATACATTGAGACCTCACGCCCCGCGACTGTCTTCCACGCTCGCAGGCGGGCCTATCCGCCGTGCCACTCCATGCATGATCACCGCTGGGGGCAGCGGTGCTCGTGCGACTGCGGATTCGGCCTCACCTCACTGCCCTCTGGCCTGCAGCTGCACGTTGCCGGGGGCCATTCTCGAGCCCTCTGGCGAATGGGCCCAAATCCGGGCTCTGAGCACGCCTACTGCTGACGATCTATGTAGCTAGTGCGGTGGGGTCTGGCGCAGGTGCGCGAGACCGTCGCCACAGGGGGGGACGCGCGATTATGTGGGCGCTCCCGAGGGGGCGAAACCGCATGTTCAAGGGAAACCAGGCGAATTGCGCCCCCAAAATGGTCCTGAGCGGCTCCCACGACCTCCCCAACACCCGAGGTGCACGACACGACCGCTTGTTCGAACATTAGTGACACAAGTATTTATTCCTGTGGGTTGTGTCATCGTGCACGCACCGCGCGCTGCGGCGGGCGTGCCACTGTCTTTGTCCGGAGTGAAAAGTCGAACGCGCTCGTCGGTGATGGGTTCCTTCCCCGTAAATAACATACTGACACGTATGTTTCCCTCGCGCCTCGGGCGTCTGCCTCAGTCTCCCTATCTCTCTCTCTCGTCGCAGTCTCTCGCCCATTCTAGTAGCGACTGTCATGCCACCTCGCGGTCGCTCCACTCTCGTCGTTCGTCCGTTACGCGTTTCCGGCGTTCCTCCTCAGGATCTCTCCCGGGCTGGGAAGCCCCTTGTGCGAGCCGGGCTCCGGACCGCTGCTGCCGCCCCGGCCGCCGCCGCCGCCGCCGCCCGCCTGCAGCTCGTAGCCCAGCAGAGGGTCCTGCGCGGTGCGCGCCCTGTACCGCGCCTCCTTGGCCGCGCGGCCCGACCCCACGAGCCCGCCCGGCTGCTGCGGCGGCGGCAGCCTCCGCTTCGCCCCGCCGCCCCCTCCTCCTCCTGAGCCCCAGCCGGCGGCGGCGGCGTTGGCGGCGGCGGCAGCCGCCGCGGCAGAGACGCGCCCAGACGTGTCGACGGCGGCCGCCATGGCGGCGGGGACGGTCGGGCCGGTCCTGCCGCCCGGAAGAATGCCGCTCCTGCCGTCCGCCGCCGACCACGACTTGAGGCGGTCGTCGACGGTCACGCCCGCGCGGGAGAGCTCCTCGCGGAGCCTGTCGGCGGCGGCGTAGTCCTTGCTCTGCTTTGCGGCCAGCCTCGCCTCCACCATCGCCGTGATGTCTGCCGAGGACAGGCGGGCGGCCCCTCCCTCCTGCGCCGCTGCCGGCTGCAGCTGCTGCTGCGGGTTCGGACCCAGACTCGGGCCGGCCTGAGGGCCGGGCATGCCGTGATGCGCCGCGAGGCCGCCGGCAGTGGGGCGGGAGGGCGCGGCGCCGGGCAGTGTCCAGCTGGTCTGCCCGGAGGAGGCGTGGCAGTAGAAGACGTTGCCTGCCGGATCCCGGTCCCTACTCCAGCCGGGAGGCAGACGCTCTTGCACCGCCGCACTGTCTGGCGGTGCCGCCGCCGCCACGCCACCGGGACGAGCGCCCGCGCCACCAGCGCCGTCGGAGGAGACGACGCCGCGCTGGGCGAGCCGCTGCATCAGGAGCGGCGGCAGCGAGCCCGGGGCCGCTGCGGGCGCCTCGGTCGCTGACGGTGGCGACGGCTCTGGAGGCGGCGGCTCTGGCGGCGGCGGCGCTGCGACCTGCACCACCGGTGCACCGTCCGCGCTAGCCTCGTGCGGCGACGTCCACTGCCGCTCGTCGGTGTCCTGGTTCCACCAGTAGGTTGAACCGGACGTCTCGTCCACGACAGAGACCCACGGGCTGGCGGCGGCGGCGCCAGCCGCTTCAGCCGCCGGCGCGGTCCACGACACGTCGCCTGTGGCAGCGCACCACCAGTAGGGGTGGCCAGAACCTTGGTCGACGACTTTGGTCCACTCAGCAGTGGGCATGAGCCGAGGACGCCGAGAGGCGAGGAGCGCGGGGGGCGGCCGAGAGGCGAGGAGCGGGGGGCGGCGCGGTGTTGAGGTACAGTGCGGGCGAGTAGAGGCCCCGCCCACCCAGGGTACCCTCTCCGAGGACCCATTTGCTCTTTCGAGGCTCGCCGGGGCTCTGCTCCAAGAGACCTCGAGAGAGCGTGCGTGTGCCTCTACTCGCCAGGGTACAGTGAAGCAAAATCAGACGGGAAAAGAATTGGGAAAAAGTCAAATTTCTCGCAGGACACCAGCCCTAGCTTGGGATGTCCGTTTTATTTATTTATTTATTTACACTGGGCACGTTTGGCGTGTCTGTTTTCTTTCTTTCTTTTACACCGGGCAGGGACTGGCGCGCACTGACACTACATGCACATGCACACACATGCACATGTGCATGTGCATGCGCATGTGACAACAGGTCCACCAACCACAAAGAATTTTCTCGAAAGAGGTCTCTCGCACACGCACGATTCACTCAACAGGCAAAGCGCGGACGACGGCTTCTAATAGAAGCCGTCGTCCTCACAGAAGCCGTCATCCTCCTCCCAGAAGCCGTCGTCGGATGGTAGTCAGGCGGATGGTCGAATCCGCGAGCACCGTGGTGCTCGCCGAAAAGAAAAGAATTTTCCGGGCTCCCTCAAACAACACTGCTCACTCACTGGGCGAAAAGAAGGGCGAAAAGAAGTAGCCCGATGCCGATCATCCGGCCCGCTGGGTGCGCTTCTTAGCTCCCCGGCGGGCACCCCGGCCCTGGATGTGAGCTTGTGAGGTTGATGACTGCACTCCAAGTGCTCCAAGAAATGCCCCTGCCCGCCAGACCCGTGTTGTGCGCGAAAAGAATCACCTCCGAGCCATCCACCACGCCGCATCGCGCAATCTCGGGCGATCCCGGGCCGGCCAGGCGCGATCTCGGTCGATCTCCGGAGCGTTTTGGCGCTATGTTACTTTTCTTCTCCCCTCTGTTTCCCGGCTCTTGAGAGTCACTCTCATGCGTCATGGGGCGCGTAGAGAATAAAATAAAGCTTGAAAATCGCTAAAATTCATAGAGAAACCCGACCTTGCCCGATTAGATCCTCGTAGTACCGCATGGGTTTCCACATCCCCTCAGCGCCTAACACCTGGCGTTGCTTCCCGTCGCCTGTTGCCCTATGCACCGCGATGACCGTCTTATCGTCCAACGCCTGCTTCAACCGGGCCTCGTCAGCCCCGGGATGCTGAAACATTTTTGCCGAGCCCTTGGGGCGCAGCTGGCACTGACGCATCTGCTTGCCCATCCAAGTGTCTTCGTTGCCTGCAGGAGCAACGCGGTTGACTCGAAGACAGCTCTGCAAGGCCTCGAGGAACGCGTCGCTCATAATTCCCCCACCCCCGCCGGAAACATAGGTCTTTCCACCATCATGGAAAGACGAGCTATACCTTGCAGGATCGAGTGCGTGGCAGCACGGGTCATATGTGTACACCTGTCCAATAAACAAAGGCTGTGAGCTATTCTCGGTCTTGAGGAAGGTCTCGAGGGCTTGCACATTCCACCAAGTATCGGCGTCGCTGCGGGCGATCCACCTCAGGTGTGGATGCTTCTGCATATACTGCAAGCTGACATTGACGATAGTGTCCCACAATCCAATCGACGCGGTTTTCCCGGTCCAAATCCTTTTGCCTGGCCACAAAACGTGGGACCAGTGCTCGTGCTGAGCTGTTAGCACCTCGAGCTTTTTCCGGCAAGCATTGTTGTTGTCCTCCTGCGTAAAAAACACAAGATGCTGTACGTGGCGACCATAGGTCTGAGCCATCGCTTCGACGTCCACCACGCAATTTTTCCCTCCACCAAACCAAGCGAAGAAGAAGTTTTGTGTGCCCACGACAGCATCACCCGTTCGTGTACCGAGTAGCTCTCGACGTTTGAGGAGCTCTCGACGTGAAGTCTGATTTAAACTGCCAACGCCCCCAGATTGACGGTCTTGCCGCGCATCTACGTGGGGACGCCGCATACTCGATGCGCAATCTGTGATCGAGATACTGTCGCCGGCGACGGAGGCAGCGGGAGCGCCCGCCGCGGGCATCGTCGGAGGACGCACGCGACTCGTGTGTCCACAAGCGGCGGGCGCCTGAAAAAAAGATCCGACGGCTTCTGAGGAAGCCGTCGCCCGCGCCTCGCCTGTCGCGTGAATCGCGTCGCATTGTAAAATTCTTTTCCGACGGGGTTGTGCACTCTTTCCCGGCAGCCGCGCCTGCGTGGGACTTTTTGACTTGGAACGTGCGCGCCGCGCTTTCGCTATGGGCAAGAAGAAGGCAGAGCCAGATCGTCCCAAGCAGCCGCGAGCGCCATTTGTCTCCTCTCGTCAGTGGCGCCGATTTCGTAAGTGCACGCTCTGGCTTCTGGTGCCGATTTCGGCCGCCTTGGCGCTCACCTTCTTCGGGCCACCTCCTCCGCCCGAAGCGGATGCGACCCGGCCCTATGAGGCTCGCTCCTCCGGTTTCGTGCGACCTCCAGAGCCTCAGGACCTCGGCCCTCCGGACTCGTGGCTAAACCCGGCCGAGTGTCTGGCATGGGCGGGCAGTGGGCAGTGCAAGTCCAACCCGGGCTTCATGCTCATCAACTGCAACCACAGCTGCGCCAAGCTCGACCTTGGCAAGCGGCAGTACGCCGCGCGCTGCCCGACACCTGCGAACCACACGGCCGCACTGCCGCCCGGCGTGATGCACGCGACGTTTGAGCGCGTGATGAGCGAGTTTGCGGAGCTGCAGCCGGAGCGCATCTCGGTGGACCCGCCGGTGAGTACCCTCTTTCGCAAACACCTTCTCGGAGGCCAGGAACCGTCTTGGAACATTCTAGGAACCTTCTAGGTGATCTTGTTCCACAAGTTCTTCTCGGAGGAGGAGACGGAGGCGTTCATCCGGCACGGCCGGGGGCGATACGCCAAGTCGCTCGGGATCGGCAGCCGAGAGTAGCCGAGAGTCTAGCCGATATTGCTCGGGATTGGCCGCACGGAGGACGGCGATTTGGAAGTGTGAACGGCGTCTCTTCACGGCGGGCGGGTGTGATCAGGCCTTAAGGAGGACGGCACCTTCGGCGACGTCAAGACCGAGATCCGCACGTCTGCGCACGGTTGGTGCCAGCACGACGCGTGCATCAACGATCCGCTCGTGCAGCAGGCGACGGGAGGAGCCGAGAGGAGCCGAGAGGAGCCGAGAGGAGCCGGGAGGAGCCGAGAGGAGCCGAGAGGAGCCGGGAGGAGCCGAGAGGAGCCGAGAGGAGCCGGGAGGAGCCGAGAGGAGCCGAGAGGAGCCGAGAGGAGCCCTAGTGCGGCCGGCTGCGAGGCAGTCACCGCATGGCGGAGGAAGGGCGTCCCTTCCCGCCGCCTCTCCGTGCAGGTGACGAGGCTCGCCGCCGACGTCACGCAGACTCTCAGCTCGCGTCCTCTCGGGTCATCTCGCATCACCTCGGCTTATAGACGCGTCGCCGACATCACGCAGACCCCGACGACAAACGCCGAGTTTGCGCAGCTGGTCTACTACCACGCGTGCGCCAGGGAGGGCGAGCCGGACTGCGCCTTTTACCGGCGGCACAACGACTACATCGACGGCAGCTGCCCGACCGGCAGCCGGGACCAGAACAGTGCTGTGGATGCAGGAGGCGAGAGCTGTGAGCAGGCGACCTCGACAGACTGCAGGGCGTGCGGATCTACACGCTGTTTGGCGACACGAAGGACGTGCCCGATGGACCCGTCAGGACACGTCCATGGCATGTCCGAGGCATGTCCCATAGGCTACATGAACGACGTGCCCGGCGGCGGCGCGACCACCTTCCCCAACCTGCCCTCCGGCCCCGTCACCTTCCTGCCCCAGCGCGGCAAGGCTGTTCTCTGGCCGTCGGTGCTGGCCGACGCGCCGCACAGCAAGGACGAGCGCACCGACCACGAGGCGCGCGCGCGCACACACACACACGCACGCACGCACGCACACACACACACACGCACGCACGCACGCACGCACACACACACACACACACACACACACACACACACACACACACACACCGCTCACCCACGCGCACTGGCCCTTGCACTTTTAATGCCGTGGGGCTCCTGTCGTCTAGATGTGGAGTTGCAAGGGACGCCCCCCTCGCCCCACCGCCTTGTGTGTGTGTGTGGAGAAGTTTACCTTACCTTACCTTACCTAGGCTCTGCCCGTCACAAAGGGAGAGAAGTTTGGCGCCAACTTTTGGATTCACCAGTGCGCCTTCGGCCGCCCCGCCCCCTTGGGGGGGGGGAGGGAGAAGAGAATTTACCTACCCACCCTACTTGCTACTTGCCAAAGGCACGTAGGCACAGCCACGTTGCTGCTCACGCCGACCATGCTCGCACTAGGTACGACTTCAAGACGCCGTACGCAAAGGGCTGCACAGCGAGCTGAGAGTGCAGCAATGCCAATGGCGAGAGGTTGGGAGGCTCAGTGCCCGTCACGAGTCAGACGGAAAGGGCGGGGCTCTTTTGCCGTCTTCACCTTTCGAAGCGGTCTTTTCACTTTTGATTTCTGTGTGTGTTGAGAACGAACTGTCATGGCTCTCTCTCACACGCAGTCACATGCACATGCACATGCACATGCACATGCACATGCTCCCTTCGTTCCAGGGCGCAGGCCGCAGGGGGAAGCAGGGTCCAGCACGCAGCAGAGAGAACTTTCCGCGGGGCAGCGTGGATGCTGGATCCCCCCCCGCGTTCGCCGTGTGTGTGGGCTGGAAGTGCAAGTGGAGGGCCGGGGGTGCGCGGCAGACGTCGTTGACACACGGAAATCGGAATCGGTCCGCCGCTAGCACACACGCCCCAGCCGCTAGCACACACGCCCCAGTCTGCGTGAGGAGGCCCCTAGGGCGCCCACGCCCCAGCCACACATGTGCATGCCCCACGCGCGAGTAGTCACCCTCCCGCAAGGTTGGAGCTCAGAAGGACAGTGAACGTGGTTTCAATCAGTCCATCGTGGAGGCGTCCGCGCTCGTGCTGAGCTGGCCTTCATCCAAGCCGGTTTCTGCAGCCTCTGTGAGCTGCTCGGCGCTGTCGAAGCGCGAAAAGATGAAGCGCGTCTCGTGTGGCCCTCCCACCTCATACGCCTCCGCCTCGCCGTCGATGGCGCCCTCGGCCATTGCACTCGTAGTAAAGGCGCCCTCTCTCGGGTACATGTCGAGCTTGCCCGCGCGCGGATGCTCGGGCGTGGCCTCACCCTGGTGTAAAGAAAGAAAGAAAACACACATGCCAAAGGAGGGATGGGAGAGAGGACGGCGCACGCCGCGTTCTTCCGCCCACTCTCGACTCTCGTCATTCTCTCTCCTGCTGTTTCATCCTCTGACTCATCGCTCTCTCCTCGGCCTCGAGCCCTCGACCCTCGTTCTGCGACAACGCCGTCTCTTGGCGAGAGCTCTCTCTCTCTCTCTCTCTCTCTCGCCGTCTCTTGGCCTTTACACCATATTCTCGAATATCTTTGGGCACCCCGGGGCCCACCGCGGGCACCCCGGGGCCCACCGCGGGCACCCCGGGGCCCACCGCGGGCACCCCGGGGCCCACCGCGGGCACACCGGGGCCCACCGCGGGCACACCTGCTCCTTTTGTAAATTTCCCTCAAACCTCCCGGTATCTCCCGGTGTCCAGCGCAATAAATCCTCAGAAAGAAAGAAAGAAAACAGACAAGCCAAGCAAACCACTCGGAGAAACTGAAATTCTTTTCGGCCTCAGGCGGCAACAACAAGAGGCGGTAAAAAGCTCCAACATGTCAGAGCCCATGCAGTGCGAGGAGACTGCGCCGTCGAGTTCCGGCTCGTCTCCCGACGCGTCGAAGCCGACCGGCTCTCCCTCTCCGGGCACGCTCGTGTGGGTCAAGACGCAGGGTTTCCCGTGGTGGCCAGCAAAGTGTATCTCCGTCTCGCCGGCCGGCCTCAAGGTCAGCTACTTCAATGAATCGGCCGAGGCGGTCGTGACCGCAGACAAGGTGCTGCCGTTCGACGACCAGCCGGGCCTGGCCGACAAGGTCCTCGCCGGCACGGGCAAGCCCACCATGAAGAAGCGGCTGTCGGCCGCCGTCGCGGCGGCAAAGGCGCCTGGCGCAAAGGCGGCGGCGGAGGCGGAGGCGGCGGCGGCGGCGGAGGCGGAGGCGGAGGCGGCCGCGCTCGCCGAGCAGTGGCGGTCCGACGGGCACGACCACCTCCGGAAGCGGGTGGCCCGCCAGTTTGGCAAGCGACTCGCGTTCGGGACGATCACAGCGTGGGCGCCGCCGGACGGCGAGGACGCGGCGCTGTTCCACGTCCAGCACGACGACGGCGACGAGGAGGACCTGGACGAGGAGGAGGCGGCCGCCGCGCTGCAGGCCTACGCCGGCTCCGCGGACAAGGACAAGGCGCGGAAGAAAGAGGCGGCGGCGGGCGGGAAGAAGAAGAGGCCAGCGGCCGGCGGAGCTGCGGAGCCTCAGAAGCCGAAGACCGCATACGCGCGGTACATCGAGGACGCGCGGGCGAGGATCAAGGGCGAGAGCCCCTCCGCCTCCCCCTCCGACGTGCACAGCCTCGCCCTCGCCGCGTGGAAGGCCGCCGGCAAGGAGGAGAAGGCGCCGTACGATGCGGCGTTCACCGCCGACAAGGCGCGGTACGAAAAGGAGTGTGCGGAGGCGGGGATTGAGCCCGCCAAGCGAGGCCGCAAGTCTGGCGACGGTGACGCCGCGCCGCCGCAGCAGCCGCCCGTCTCGAACGGCCCCGCTGGCCAGGCCGCTTTCGCCCTCGACCAAGCCAAGCGCACCGGCGCAGAGGCGGCTGAGAAGCGGCGCGCCTCGGGCGCTCTCGAGCCGTCGCGAATGAGACCCTCTTCCATTCCCCATTCAGGCGGCGAAGAAGCGGCGCGGCTCGGGCGCGGGGCTGCTCGGCGCCCCTCCGAGCGGGCGGCGGCCCGAGCCAGACGGCGCGTGCGAGATCTAGCCGAGATCTAGCCGAGATCTAGCCGAGATCTAGCCAGATAGCAGGAGCCAAATGGCGCCTGACCCGGAGCCCCAGACCCTGAAACCAAGCCTTTCCCCTGCACCTGAGCCTGCCCCCCTATCTAGACAGGCGTGCTCAGCCTGGAGGGCGGCGCAGGCGGGCCTGACCCAGGCAGAGTCTGGGACAGGAGGGCGACCAAGTGCAGCGGCGGCGCGGCCGGCCGGGCGATTGGGCTGTGGGCGGCGGCGCAGAGCCTGACCAAGGAGCTCGCCCTGTCCCGCTTCTCGCTCGACCAGCTCTGCGCCGCCCTCTCCTCGCCCGCGTCGCAGCACCCTCCCGCAGAGGAGCGCACGCGATCAGCCCGCCGTCGGCAAACTCCGCGCGCACCATCCGCTCGACTACTCGCTCTCCCTCGTAGCACTCGCTCTCCCTCGTAGCACTCGCTCTCCCTCGTAGCACTCGCTCCCCCTCGTAGCACTCGCTCCCCCTCGCCGATGGGAACCTCCACGCGCACCATCCGCTCCGCACCACTCTCACCCTCGTAGTGCTCCAAGCCCTGCCGTCGGCGATCAGCCCGCCGTCACTGAGTCACCGAGAGAGGTTCACCGGGGCGGCGGCTGGGGACGCACCGCACACTCCGCGGGATTACCCGAGATTACCCGAGATTACCCGAGATTAGGCTGGGGACGCGCTTCCCACTCCCCGAGATTACCCGAGATTACCCGAGATTAGGCTGGGGACGCGCTTCCCATTCCCCGAGATTCCCCGAGATTACCCGAGATTACCCGAGATTAGGCTGGGGACGCGCTTCACACTCCCCGAGATGCGTGAGAGTCGCGACTAGTCGCGACTCACTCCTCACCCCCTCCCTCCCTCCCTCCGACTCCTCGTCCGCAGGCGGAGGCCCCCCTCCTCGGCGAGCTGCACGTGCGACTGCTCCGCACCGCCCTCGCCACGCCGCCCGCCGCCCCAACCTCCCTCGAGGAGCTGGTCGCGCTCGACGCCGGCAAGACCAACCCTCACACCGGGGCGGCCGACAAGATGCCGCCGCCGGGCACGTGGCTGCGCCCGCCCCTCGACGCGCAGCTGCTGCACCAGCCGCCGCCGCCGGCGCTGGTGACGGCCAGCAACTGGCCGGCCCTCCTTGCGAACGTCGGGCCGATGCTGCCTGCGGTGGCGCAGGCGACGCCCGACGCGCCGTGTCCGACCCACACATCTACATCTACATCTGCATCTCGGCCGTACCTCGGCCGTATCTCGGCCGGATCTCGGCCGGATCTCGGCCGTATCTCGGCCGGATCTCGGCCGTATCTCGGCCGGATCTCGGCCGTATCTCGGCCGGATTTCGCAGGTGGCGGGCGACGCGCTGTCCGAGCTGCGGCGGGGCGGGTATGCGACGCTCTCGCTCGACCACAGGCTCGACTTGCTCGAGGGGCTGCTCGACGCGGCGCTCGAGGAGGCGTCGGTGCGCGCGGCGCTCAACGCAAACTACGAGCGGCGCGAGGAGCGCGCGCGCGAGCGGAGGGCGAGGCGGAGAGCCAAGGGCGAGGTGGGAGGCGAGGCGGGAGGCGAGGCGGGCGGCGAGGAGGGCGGCGAGGAGGGCGACGACAAGAGCGCGGCAAAGCCGGACAAGCCGAACAAGGGAGCCAAGGGCGACAAGGGCGACAAGGGCGACAAGGGCGACAAGCCGAAGGCCTTCAAGGCGTTCAAGGCGCCGCTGCCCGAGGGGGCGGGCGAGGCGGCCGAGCAGCGGCGCGCCAAGGCGACCGCGGCGCTGCTCGCGGCGCTGTCGACGCGCGAGGAGGGGCAGCTCGCCGCCGCCATCTCGCTCGCCGAGGCGTCGCTGCACACCGGCGTGCTCGAGGCCGCGGAAGAAGGGAGCGGGCCCGCCAGGCCGTGGGCCACGGACGAACTGCTCGCGGCGCGCTCGGCGCTCGAGGCGGAGCGGCGGTCGGCGGCGCGCGTTCGCGAGGCTGCCGGCGACCAGGCGGCGGAGCAGGCGGAGGCGGAGGCAAGTCTGCAGGACCAGGACGCGCTGCCGTGCCGCATCTCGCCGCTCGGCTCCGACGGCAAGGGGCGGACGTATTGGCTCTTTGGCGCGGACGCGTCGCGGCTGTGGGTGCAGGGCGCCGAGGCGGATGGATGGGGGTGGGCCTTCTACTCGAAGCCAAAGCAGCTCGGCCGGCTGGTCGCGTGGCTCGACGGGTCATCGCCAGGGTCGGCCGAGGCGGGCCTCAAGGCAGCGCTACTCCGCCTCACGCCGCTGCTGCAGCGCTCGATGGCGACCGAGGAGGAGGAGGAGGAGGCGGCGGGCGGTGCCAATGGCGGCGGCGGCGGGGGGGGGGAGGAGGAGGGGGAGGAGGACTGGCTGCTTGTCGGCCATGCGCTGGTTGGGCGCCGCGTCTCGCGCAGCTTCGACAAGGCGGCGGCGGAGGCGGCAGCGAGGGCGGAGGCCAAG